CCTCAAACCAGTCTTCACGTTGGAATCAAAGCCTTTCAGCCATATCCACCCCACTTGCTTCTCCATCGAGTGCTCTCTCCACAACCTCAACTACTAAAACCGTCAACTCAACCGCTGCCAATGGGTGTTTCGACGCTCCATCTGACAACTTTGAAATGACTTCCTACAACTCACACGAAGCTAGCAATTCAGAAAGTGATATGTCACGTTTGGAACATTACCTCCAATCCGCGTACAATCGACATCGTGGCAAGTCAGAGGCCGGCGTGTCCGGGGCTTCTGAACCTGCTTCAAATGCATCCACCACATCTTCCGTAGCCGTCTCTAATTCACAGACTAAAGTTGAGGAGGATGAGGCCAAACCAAGTTCTTGCGTGACTCCTTCAGGCGACGGTGCGCCAGTTAAATTAGAAGGCGAATCTACTGCTCCCTTAAAAGAGGTGAAAACCTCAGGAACACCTAATTCAACACCAAACACAGAATCCTTTTCCGTGACCTCAAACACTGCCGTTACCTCAACCGCATCCAATACACAGCAGAGTTCGCTTTCTTTAAAGCCAGATGAATCCAAATGGAAGCGATGGTCTAGGGAAGAATTATTGCGGCATTTCTTACAGCTGCACGAAGAGATTTCAAACGATAAGCACGCAGAACCGTTCATAGCACCAGTAGACCCTGTTGTGCTTCACATACCGGACTACTTTCAAGTCATCAAAGAACCAATGGATCTTACTACCATTCGTAATAATCTGGAAGACGGAAAGTACTCCGATCCTTGGCAGGTCGTTGAACACTTTCGACTAATGTTTAATAATGCGTGGTTATACAACAAGAAAACTTCCAGGGTTTATAAAATGTGCTCAAAGGTATGTCCGTTAATTTTTATTTTAATTTCTCTCAGCTTGCGGAGCTTTTCCAGAGCAGAATTGATCAAGTTATGCAAGCAATGGGATTTTGCTGCGGGCAGGATTACGAATATCAACCACAAGGGCTGTATTGCTCCTCAGCTAATCTTTGCACAATCAACAGGGATGCAAACTACTATGTGTTCTTCAATAAGTAAGTGGATTTTGTTATTTCATACTCTTTAGTGACAAACAATCCACTGGATTGGTATGTGATAAATACTACCAGTGTGAGAAATGCTTCGATGAAGCGGGTGACTCAGTAATATTATCTGATGAACCTAATCAATCAGTGTAAGTATTTCCTTTGCTTTTCAATGATCGTTTCTGTAGACCAATATCCAAAGATCTTTTCGAACGTCGGAAGAATAATGTCAAGGAAAAAGAGGAGTACGTAACCTGTAATGAATGTGGTAGACGTTGGCACAAAGTGTGTGCTTTGCACATGAACGAAATTTGGCCCACCGGGTTTGTTTGCCCAGGATGCTTGCGGGAACGCGGACTCCGACGCAAAGAGAATCGCTTTACTGCAAAGAAATTGCCTGTTACTCGCTTGAGTACCTTTCTGGAGAAACGCGTTAATGATTTCCTAAAGAAAAAGGAAGTTGGCACTGGGGAGGTCACCATTCGTGTTTTGGCCAGTTCTGACAAAACTGTTGAAGTCAAACCCCTTATGCGTGCTCGCTTTGCNNGAGAGCGGAGAGCTGTCCGAGTCGTTTCCTTATCGTTTAAAGGCGATTTTCGCTTTTCAGGAGATTGACGGACAGGACGTTTGCTTCTTTGGACTGTATGTCCAAGAATATGGCTCTGATAGTCCGCAACCCAACCGTCGCAGAGTGTACGTTGCCTACTTAGACTCCGTATTCTTCTTTCGTCCTAAGCAGTATCGTACTGATGTCTACCACGAAATACTTGTTGGTTATCTTCTGTACGCTAAGCGATGCGGGTACACAATGGCGCACATATGGGCCTGCCCACCAGGTGAGGGGGACGACTATATTTTCCACATGCACCCGGCTGAGCAAAAGATACCGAAAGCAAAACGTCTTCAAGATTGGTACCGCCGCATGCTTCAGAAAGCGATAATTGAGGATATTGTTGTGGACTACAAAAATATATTGAAGGATGCTCTGGATCACCAGCTAGTGTCCCCCACCGAAATCCCCTACTTCGAGGGAGACTTTTGGCCTAACACATTGGAGGATATTCTCAAGGTAAGTGTCGTACATACCTACTGTACTGGAGGTTTTCTTAGTCGGTAGTGAAGTTGCTCTCACCAATGAACATGAGCTACTGTAACAGTGGATATTTTCGACACTAACCCACTCCTTCCAATCTTGCGACATGATAATCAACGGGCCATGCTAGTTTATTCT